AAATAAATGACACTTCAAACATTCAAATCTTTTAATCATTCTGTTCTAATAACCCAACAAAATCACAACAAACCCGATTACAAAAGTTGTGATCTACTTCTCAAATCTTCATTTTGCAGCTACTAACATAATCTGAAAACAGCAACGATGACCTTTCCATATCTTTGATCGAAAATGGAGAATAATGTTGAGAAATTCGGAATTGGGAGGATGAAAAGAATTGAGAAAGCAAAAAGAGAGTTTGAGGCGTATATGAATACTTTCCTTTAAGGTTTTATTTGCCATCACTTCTCAAAATTTGCTAATGAGTTTTAAATGACAAATTACCCCCAAGATACAACAAACTATTGAACACAATATCTAACAAAAAATATTGAGTTCCAGAACAATCAATTAATCTGTATTTTTTGAAGTCCATCAAATAAAGACAATGATGTATCCATCATCTTTAAGTGTTACAACCTTTCACATAAAGATACTTTTTCAATTTGAAGGTTATCTTTTATATGCTAATGCACTTATATTAATAGTTATTTCTATTGTTAATAAGTGCTCAGATATGTGAGAAAACATATCACAAATAGATGCAATTGTTCGAGACCTTTTCAGATCACTAAAACACACGAAAACACATTTTCCGTTAACGAGCTGCAGCGCGTCCATGCGCTGCAGCGCACGCTGCTGTGCGCTGCAACGCGCGGGCTTAGCAAAACAGACCTGAGAGGTCTGTTTTGCACAGGCTGCAGCGCGCACCCTTGCGCGCTGCAGCGCGTGCTTGTGTCAGCCCACTCTTCCTGAATGTATTTTAATCCAATTTTGTGACCGAATGTGTTTTAAGCCAATTTGTGATATCGAAATTGAAAGATATATTATAATCTCTTTAACAAATAATGCCCGACATTTGCAACTTCACTCGTCATAATTGCACATTGTTCACAAACAATATAACAACAAATAACAACATAACTAGTATATATCCATCCGGGCAACTTGTATAACAAAATTTAACATGCATCCAACATAAAATTCATAACAATAATAGCTGTTGCATATCGTCCATGTTCTTCATGAAGAAACACAAGAAATATGGTAATCTTTTATTTTCTTTCAACGAAGACTTTTGTCCGAAGAAAAAAATACAAGTTAATTCCTCAATCATTCTTATTGTACAACTGATGGATAAGTTAGGATCAGAATCACTAGACCAATATGATTTTTTTTTTTTTTTTTTTTTTTTTTTTTTTTTTTGGAAAAGGAAAAAAGACAAAGAAAATTATTCATTTTATATTATTCCCATAACCAACTAAAACAATCCAAACATCAGATTATTTACCTTTTTATATTGCGAAAACTAAACAATCAGTACGTCAACTAATATACCCACTTTTACGTCCATTGAAGTAAAGAGCAATACCATCTATTTATTTCCCAAGCATCGTAATGAATATCAGTAACGCCAACCAGAAACCTTTCTAAGTGGCGGCAGAAAACGGTAAACAAGTTAAAAAAATAATATCTTCTATGACAATTTGCAGCTCACCTCGAGCACTTGGATCTTTCAGTGAGTTACTAAGGTCCGTTTAGTTTGTTAATTTGAGTTTTTAATTCGAATTGAGATGTGATTTATATGAAAATTTTTAACTGTAGTAAAAAAATTAAATGTGACTGTTTTTTAGAGTTTTTTATTGTAATAAAATTTAAATTTTAAACTCAAATTGATGAAATGAACAGGCATATAGTGTTGCCTCATATTCCTTTAGCTGAGTCTGCCATGAATCATAAATAAAACAATTAGCACAGTTTGTAGCTCACCTCAAGAGCATGGCCTCATGAGCTGTCTGTGGACCATTCGACAAACTGATCTCTCCAAAATCTGAAAATACCTGTATATGTTTCACCAGTAAGTTAAAGGCACACGCAAATAACATCATTGCAATTAACTGGCTGATTCCTTGTTTAACGAGGCTGATTCTATACTTTCTCAAACTCACACATATAACGAGTTCAAGCGAAAAAAAAAAGAAAAAAAAAACACATCTAGATACTTCTATGTTTATGCATACATGAAACTATAAACTGCTTTTTTTATATATATATTAATTTCAAAAATTAAATTGTACGAGAACAAGCTAAATGACTGGGAAAACAATAAAACTACACATCTTGATATATATACCTTTGACATCTTGGTCCGAGGGGACGAAAGCGATTGAGATCGGCGAAGCCAGATCTGGATAGCTTCCCACGCGGCGGCGGCGACGGCGAGCTCGAAAAGAAGTGCTGGAAAGGGGGGCGAGGAGAGAGAGAAAGGGCTGGGAGAGAGAGAACGGATCGGTGGGGAGAGAGAGAAGGGATCGGTGAGGAGAGAGAAAACAATGTTAGAGAGAGAATTTTAACACTAGGCTTTGAACTTAAGGGTAGTTTGGCCTTCAAAATGGTGGTCAAAATGTCAGGAAAAAGGTCTGGGGATTTTAAATTCAAAAGGGTAAAAATCCTTAAACAGTGTTTGAGAGTCAAAATCTCCGGGTGCGTTTGGAATTGGTTTTAAAACGTTTTTATTTTCTGTACGAAAATGAAAATGAAAACGTTTTTAGTTTCATTTTTGAATTATTTCTAAAAATGCGTTTGGTAGTTTTATTTAGAGATTGATTTCAGTTTTAAAAAAAATTGAAACTGCGTTTGGTGGTTTAATTTTTAAAAACATGTAATAATATATTAAATAATAATATATTAAATAAATAATATTATTAAATATATTAAATAATAATATATTAAATAATAATATATTAAATAAATATATTACATCAACATGATTACAAAATATATTAAATAAATATATTAAATAAACATATATAATACAAAAACAGTTTCGGAAAAGAGGGAAGAAAATGAAAAAGAAAAAAAAAAGTGAAATCCGTTTTTCAGAAAACAGAAAACGAAAACGAGAAAATGAAAACACATTTTTTTCGTTTTCTGATTTCCACAAAAAGACAAAAACGTTTTTGGTTTTGTTTTTTAAAAAAAATTGCACCAAACACGTTTTTAACACCCGTTTTCATTTTTTTGCTTTGAAAACCGTGAAAAACGAAAACGAAAACGCAAACAAACAGGCCCTCCATTTTCTCAATTTTTTTTAAAGGCAATGCCATAAAAAAAATTAAAACCTTTTAAGAAAAACTTCTATAGATATTAATGGCTGTTTAGTTTGTTTATTTGAGTTAATTTAAGTTGAGATTTGAATGTGAAATTTTTTTATTGTAATAAAAAAATTAAATATGACTGTTTCTGAGAGCTTTTTATTGTAATAAAATTTGAATTTTAAATTTGAATCGGTAAAATGAACGGAGCCTAAAAGTATAAAATATCTTTTTCAATTTCAACCGGTGTTGAACAATTATCTTTTTTTAGAAACAAAAATAATGGTAAAAGTAAATTGATTAAAGAAGATAAGTAGATAGAATACTTATGGTAGTTTTGTCCAACAATTAATGTCATACGCATTAGAAAAGAGAAACACAAATATAAAAAATTGATATGGATAAAGTGTTCAAGGTGAAGTTTGATTTATGAGTTCAAAATTATAGTTCATAATTTTAATTTTTAAAAATTAAATTTTTTATAAGAGAAAAATACCATAATAGAATTAAGAATTATGATCCTAAATCGGACAAAATATTTAAAATAAACGTCACTTAAGTGTCACATTTTTATTAAACGAGTGTATTATATAAATAAAGTGACGTAATATACCCGATCCGTTGAATAATTCCTTTATAAATAATCTCCACCGGGGAAAATCTACTTTGAAAATTGTGAAAGGAACATATTCAGCATCATGTACCAAAGATTAATCGACAAAAAGACAGCGCAATGCACCAAAAAGTTGTGAGTTATCCTCTTTGCAGCCTTACACCCCAACAGAAAAAAAAAAAAAAAAAAAAAAAAAATTATAATTCCTGATAATAAAATTACAGCTTGACTTCATAGAGTTAAAGCCTAAAGGTAAAATGAAGAAGCCTTCAAAACCCTCTCTCTCTCTCTGTTTTTTTTTAAACCTCATTATCTCTCATTCAAGTCCAACTCAGGGACGTTTGTTTCTTATATTCGTCACTGATTCTGAATCATGATTTATGGTTCTCTACAGTATTTTTCTCTCATAAAAAATACACGTAAAACGAGAATAATTCTAAATCATAATTCTGAATACATAAATCAAATGTCCTCTTAAATATTTCAAAAATGCTGTATCATGACTCGCGAGAGTCGTAAGCCATTAGTATTTTAATTTAATTGAACCATCGAGCGAAAGCTTAATATGGTAATGGTATTCCCTTGTAACAATTTGAAAGGGATTCATTTTCGGGAACATTAATTTGGCTAGAATAGGATACAGGCAGATAATGAGCCCTCCACTATCACATGGTGAGTACATATATTCCAGCAAAAGGGGGTCAATCTTCCTATCTTGTTATTCAGTGGATGATCTTGACATATTGGTGTGATTGGATTAGGAAGGAGAGAAGATCGTCCGAGATAAAACCTAAGGACTTCTTTCATTTCCTTATGATTAATTTATTGATCATGTACTAATACTTTTCCTCGTTGTTTTACTATTACCAAGTTTCAAATCCAGAGGACGAGAGAAATATATAGATACAATATTACGTATGCTTACAAAAACACACATATAATCTCCAAAATTTTAATACAAGGTGGATTCTCACATTTTGATTAAACACAAAAGAAAATTTTGTTATCATCCCAATTTATAATTTGTTTCTCATTGTCACTACAAAACCACCACCAAGTCCTTGTATTTCTAAACTACGATGAAATTCGCATACTTAGTCCAACTTGAATGAGAGTCGAAGCATAAATTACAAAATTTTCAATAGCTATTTGTATAATCATCCCTACAC